GGGTAGGGCACTCCCTGGTGGCGCAGCGGGTTAAAGCACAGCACTGGAAAGCTAAAGCCACTTCAGCGTGAGTTCGTGAGTTCGATCCTGACCCCAGAGGTGACTGACCCACATGGTGCGGCAGATCTCTCCCTGCTCCCCTCAGCAGTGTACTTTGTCGATCTTCCTGTTCTGCTCCCCACTCTGCATCTCTGGCCTGTACCCCAGTTCTGTATGTATAAATAAATAAATCTTAAAAAAAAAGAAAAGCACGTGTAATGTCTGTGCTGTACAACTCTCTGGAAGTAGGAGTCCTCTAATGTTGACTCCAATTTCTTCTCTACCGGTTACAATCCTAACAAGGGATTGTAACTGGTAGAGCAGAACCGGGTAACATACAACAAAGAGTTCAATGAAACAAGGTCACGGTGGACAGGTTGCAAGAGGGAGGGAGGGGGCTAAGGGTGAAATACTGCACCCCCCTCTAGGGGGCGCCACCGGTAACGGCCTTTGACTTCAGCTCCTCTGTGTTCCAGGAAGTTGAATCCTGCAATGTGGAGATTTCCCCGACACCATGTCCTTTGCGTCATTTTGTGAGTGGGTCTCAAAGGGCAGACTCTGGAAATCTGGGGGTCATCTTCGGTCACCACATGTTGGTATGAAGGAGCCACTGTGCAGAGGGGGATTCTCAGCAAAACTTGCTTCACATCACAAACACACATCCTGCATTCAGGTAGCTGGGAAGATCTATTTGTGATTAGCTGAGCCTCGCACTGTAACTTGGCTTTACATACAAAACAAGTTTTGTGGGTTTTTCATGTGTGTTAATGTTTAAAATTCCCAATGCCGCAACCACAAGATTATACTTGTTTTGTTTGAAATTTTACAAAGAGTTGCTCCTCAATTTCATAGTCACATGACTCAGCAGTCAGTCATGGCATTTGAATTGCCAGGACAATACAAGGTAGTTGCTACATTCAAGGTGATTCTATGTAGACTATGTCTTTAGTCATCATTTATATTAGATCATTATAATTTCTTTGTATGTATATGTATTATCAATGCATATTATCTATGAATTTTGCTTCACAATCATAAAAGAGGTGTTAGGAGATGTTAATTATGCAATGGTGTTGGACCCAATTGGGAACTGCTGGTCTTTGTCAAGGGACTAAGTTGGTGCTGTCGTTTTTTTAATCCCTCCTCAAGAGACACTCAAAAAATGGTGGCTTATGCATATAATCATTTATTTTTTAATTGCAAAACCAAACTTAGGGTTAAGTTTCCTCACGTAGCTGTTCGGTGATTTCTAAACATCACATTCTTGAAACTAAGCTAACAGCTTTATAATACAGAGTACCCCACAGCCCGAGGAACCATAGATTTCTGGTTTCAGTAATGGGACTTTTTCAGAAACGGTATTAGAGTCAGGCCCTGGACTGTCTAGTTCTTGGGAGTGCGCCTTCCGATTGACTACAGAGGCTCACACGGCCCTGCTGAAGAGGCAGAGAACACTCTCACACTCAACTAGGACAGCCTCAAGGCCCAAGGTCAACTCAAGTGAGAGGCAAACTGATATTTTGATAGTGCCATATCACACCAAGCACACTGAGGCTTGTTATTTCACTTAATCTTCACAACCACCCGAAAGGCAGAAAATGCTCTCCGAGGTCACACACCTGACAAGAGTTGAGCTGGGATCAGAACCCAGGTCTGTGTGTCTTTGAAGCCTAGTATCTCTGCCACTGTAACCCATTAGCCTGTCTAAGCAAACCTTGCAATCACACCCCAGTTTAACTACTAGGTTTTCTGTGGATAAAAGCCAAGGAAGTTCTGAACAGACAACACCTTTATTCATTCACCACCCATTTTTTAAAGAAATAGAATAGCCTTAATTCAGTATTGCATATACTTTCTTCTGGACTGCCAAACATTTTCCTCTTAAAGATGTACTCGAGTCTGACAAAAGGTCTATCGTACTTTCCCCCAAGACTATCTAGTCACCTCTCTGACAACAGGTTAATGTGGGGTAACTTCAGTTATTTCATCTTCGGAGGATTTGGATTTTGCAAGACATGTTTACACCAGTAGTCACTGCAGGGACACTTTTTCACTCAGGGGGATATGTGACAAATCTGAAGACATTTTCTGAGTGTCTTAACTCAAGGGTGCATGTGTGCCACTATGGTGAGGTGCCAGGGAGGCTGCTAAACAACCTAGGCAGTATGGGACTGAACTCATGACAAATAATTACCTGGCCAAAGATGTCAAGAGTGCTAAAGTTGAGGGCACGAGAGTCTCAGTGCTGTCAAGCTATCCACAGCCACTGCAGTACGAGTTCAATCCCCAGCCAGGGAGCTGACCCACATGGCGCAGCAGAACCTCTCCTGTCTCACCTGCTGCTCCCCTCAGCAGTGTATTTCATCAATCTGCCTGTTCCGCTCCTTGCTCTGTCTCTGGTGAATCCTCTCACCATCCCTGCACCTCTGGCCTATACCCCAGTTTTGTATGCATAAGTAAATGTTTTTTCTTTTTTTTTAAGAGTGCTAAAATTGAAAAATTCTGCTTCTGACTCTTCAATAATATGCTTTTCTGCTGGGGAAGGCTCTCTGCTCACCAGAGCTCCTGCACCCGGCAAGGGGCAACCCCTTTCTGGCAAGTGTTGTCTTGGAAAATTGCCTCTGGGCACTTGCAAAGCTGGAACTGGGAATGATTCTCCAGGCCAGACTGCAAAAATCTTTCTCATAGAAAAGTTCTGAAGCTTTTTGATTACAGAAGAAACTATTCACAGTAAAAAGAAAGCAACATAATAGGAATTGCACAAAGTTAGAGTCTCCTATATATAACTCCATTACCCCAGAGGTTTTAAGAGTCTGGAGTGTGTTCCTCTGGAGTTGTTTTTTGGTTTTTTTTTTTTTAACTTATGCATACAAGAGATGGGGTGTAGGCCAGAGTTGTGTGTGTTGGTGGGGGTGGGGTGAGAGGATTCACCAGAGCCAGAGTGGGGAGCAGAACAGGAGAACAGGTAAACTGACTGAAATACACTGCTGAGGGAAGCAGCGGATGAGACAGGAGAGGTTGTGACACGTGGGCCACCTTCCTGATTGGGGACTGAATTTGTGCTGCAGCAGCTGCCAACAACTTGATAACACTGAGATTAACCTCTTATGCCGCCAGGGAGGCCCTCCTCTAGGTTTTTCATAGCCAAACACTTTGGGTCAGTTAAGAAAGGGTAAGTGTAACTACAGTTTGCCACTGGCTTTTCTCTCATAGCATATACTGCCCATGTATCCACCTAGATGTACCGTATTCCAGTGAACAAATGGCCATCTTATTCAATCAAGTCCTTACTGATAGATGTGTGAGTCACTTCCAGTATTTTGCTTTTGCAAAGAACATGACATTGAATAACCTTCCACTTTTTGGTTTGTGTACTTGGGAGGGCTCCATGTTCTAAGAAGTGTAAATGCTAAATTCAAAGGGTGTCTATATTAAAATACGTCTGTGTTATAAATGAAAAGGGTCTTCGTTATTTGTCTGTCTTGCAGCTAGCCAACTAGTGATACTCATCACAGGAAAACATTCACTGGTGAACAAACTATTTACAAAAACTAGTCCCTTCTGGCTTCGTTAAGAATCAGTACTCATTGTGGTCTAGTCTTGGGCTAGTCTCTCAATGACACAGAAAACAATGCTGAGAATTGAAGCCACTGCAAATTGTGCTAAAGATGGCAGCTGTGATGCACATCATCAATGCTAGGAAACTACTCAAATCTCAAGCCACTGAATAATGTGGATTTGGCTCCCGACTAGTAACGGGTGAAAAGGGAATGGTGATAAGTGATCCTTATCACCTTATATTAATTAAAAAATGAGGCGAATATTAAGATCGAGATCCTTAGGAGAACTGAGGAAGATCTCAAACACTTTGGCAACATTTCTCTCTATTATGCTGCATAATCCAATGGGAAGGACACTGTAAGATGATGAAACGATTGCTTCACTTGAAGAACAAATACTTGACTCATTCTTCTTGAAGAACAGATTTATAATTATAAGCATTTTTTTTGTCATTTTGGTCCGTTTTCATGATAAAAGTCCCAATTAGACTCCCTTAATCCTACCACATATTGTGACACGTTGGTCCCCATCTTCTGTAGATTCCCTTTAGGGGAGCTTTTCTGGGTGTTTGCACCTCTCCAGTAGCTAAGCAGGCCCTCCAATCTTATGAGCACTTTATGTCCCGGCAATCATGTCTGGCATGTGAAGGCAAAATAACTCCTACGATTATCTAATCCTTCCAGGAGCTGATGTATTCCATGGCATTTGGGTCCCTTTTCTGTCTACCCCCTTCAGAAGTCACTGACACAGGATGAAGCAAAAAGCCCATGCTTGGTTTGTCTTCTACTGATGTCACCCTTTCCAGCTGCCAGCCAAACCCCAGTTAACAGAACAAGACAGGAACCCCAGCTGCAAGCCCCTTGATCCTCACAGCCAGAACTCACACTCCGCCCTGGGAAACCTGTCAGCACTCCTAGGCCACCAAGAAAAGAAACAAACCAACACAGGCCCCGGAAACTCAGCTGTGACATCTCAAGGTCCTTTAACCCTATGATGCAATTCAGGCGTCTGGATTCTATTTTCAAGAGCTACAAAGAGTCATACAATGCTCTGCCTATATAACCTCCTCTCTGGCACTTTTTAAAATAAATAAACGTTCTGTAGATACACTTATTGTGTCAAAGCTGAAAAGAACAAAAGACCTAATTAAACAACCTTCACTTTACAGATGAGGAAATTGAAGTCCTGGGACGGGCACCTGCAAACTTCAGTGAAGTTTAGAGTTTGCAGCCAGATGGTCTCTGTCCTAACTATTCAACCCTGTCATTGTAGCACAAAAGCAGCCAAAGGTAAACAGAAGTGTGGGCGTGATAAGTTTATTTATGGACACTTAAATTTGAAATTTACATTATTTTTCACATGCTACAAAAATATGGTTCCTTTCATTTCAACTATTTAAAAATGTAAAAATCATCTTTAGTAAGCCAAATGAAAACAGGTGGTAGATTGGATCTGGCTGTTGGCCAGTGTGCTGATCCCTGTTCTAGGCCACTCTGACATCCCAGTGCCGCGGTCAGAGCTGGCCACGTAACCCTGTGCTGATCTGCTCTTGGCTCTCAAGGTAGGCAACTACTACCTCCATCACAGACGCACATCTGCTTCAATCTAGAGTGTTCCCCCAAGAATGTGCGCCAGACCACTGCTGAAAGAACACGGATACAATTAGACCGCATGCTTTACCCACACACAAATAAGAGAAAAATAGAATAAATTTGAGAAACTCACTAAATTTGAAAAATAGGCTTTATTTGAACCAGTGGTATTGTATGACATCCTATATGGCATAATTGATTACAGCCAAGTTCATGAATACAAATAAAATAGCAGTTTCCCTCATTCTCTCTTTTGTTTTCTCTTCAGAGAAATCAGGAGAAATCAGGAGACGGGAGTATGATGCCCAGAAACCCAGGAGCTCTTTCGCAGGCTCCAGCTGAGTCCAGGCTCCTGGAGCATGCAGCCTCCTAACACGTATGTGGTCACATGTGCAAAGACCTTTATTAAAAAATATTCAGAGCAGTATTTCTATTGGAAATCACACTAGCGTTTACAACCAAACACGGCTGATAAAATTCATCCTGCTGTGGGTTGTGAGGATTTGAACTGCATATAAAGGAGATGAGGCCTTTGCGTTTTTTTCCTTTAAAGAGGGGGAGAACCCCAGGTGAAGTGTGATCACCAGGAAGCCTGCCTCTGCCTTCCTGCTCCAGTTGACTCAGGGGTCCCACCTTGCCCTCTGGAGTGCACGTTGTCACTGCACTGTGACAGAACAGTGGAAACACCTGGGCCCGGACACAAGATTTCATCACACAGCCAAAATGGAAGTGGCTTCAGAATTTCACAAAAGTTTTAAATATGGGCCCTTATGTTGTATAAGATACCTAAAAGTCAGAAAATTATGAAAACAACTCTTTTCCACCCCTGAGGATATTTCATCTTTATAAAGTTGAAAATACAAAATATTAAAATAATTTGCCCTTTCTCCCCATCAAAAGGAATCACATTCTCAAAAGATTCCTGCAGTATACAAAATTCTGAAATAAAACTTATTTCTCCCCAAACCAAGAAGTCAATATGAAGCTGCCAAGAAGACCCTTTTCCAGAGAGGGGTGGAAAAGAAAACTTGTTGCTTTTTTCTTTTTTAAATAGCCATATTTGAACAAAGATTGCGAAAGGAGTTTCTGGCCTCTTGAGTATTTTTCACTTTGATTTTCAGCATTTCTTAGCATCGCTCATTGGGAGTGAAGAGAATAACTTCCTTTCCAAAGTTTGAGATATTCCCGGGCAAAGCCCTGATCTTTCCCATAACTTCCCGAAAACAACTTGTTGAAAACCAGATGGCAAGGATAAAAATGCTATACCTCCATCTGTTTCGTTTCTTCATAGTTTTCACATCAAAAGCACCTGGAGTATCAATTGTGTTCAACACAATAGCACTGGGGGCTGAAGGGGATGACGTCACCTGCCCACAGCAGCAGCCGAGGCGACTTGGGTTCTGAACTCCCCAACAAGTCTCTGCTGGCAAACCTGCCTGGCACTAGGGCCTCCCGAGGAGGACAGGACAAGCAGCTGGGCATGCTCAAATAGCGAGACGTGCAAACACATTGTCACTCTGCTAGGAATAAAGAGCACACGGGAAGGACACGACAGCAAGAGCCGGCTTCTGACGACTGGGGCCCATCCTCAAGAAACCTCTGCACTGGAGGTGAGGGGTAAGCAGAGACATGGCAACAACACCTGGGGGCAAGGGGGAGGCGAGAACACGCATGCTCACACGTGCACACACGGCGCCCCCGAGGCTCCCTGGCTACTTAAGTGGCCGCCTGACAACGCTAGCTCAGGAACTCATCTGCTGCCCTCTCCTGACTGACTACACCTTTTTCTTTCCTTTTAAGGCACAGACATATTTACAGTTTCAGATACACTTGTTGAGTTCTGAGACTCCCGCAGACTAGCGCGCACAGCCAGCTGGGCCTTTTGCGGTGCTGAAGGACCGTGTCCGATCCGGAGCCGCCAGCAGTGAGCCTTCCCTGCGCCACAGGGAGACGCCAAATGGCAAATGGCAAATGCCAAAATGGCAAAAGCATGACTGGGGTTTGGGATGTTTAATATTTTTTACTTTGTGTGTGACATATATCCCCAAGAAGATGGCAGCTCTGTGTGCCTGAGCTGACTTCCGAAGAAGAGCAAGTGGAGCCTGCCATGGCGGCGGCAGATCCATGCAAAGTCACTGTGATCAGTTTGCTCATATTCTCTTACCCCCCCCCAACAAAGACAGGTACACACATGCACACACACATGCACACGTGTATACACGCGTGCGGGCCCACGCGCGCGCACACACACACACACACACACACGCACACACACACACCCCTTCCACCAAGGAGGAAATCTCTGCATCAAGAGGCACTTGAATGATATTTGGAGAGTTCCCATGAAAAGGCTTTTCCCTCACAGTGAAGTGGGATCAACAGAACAGAAACCAGGTGCTCAGGACTCCATCTCTTCTTGGTCAAGGGGTGGTGGCACAAAGCTGATGACTTCATCGTAGGTCAGGCCTAGAAGTTGGGAAGGAAAAGTAAAGTGTGAGACTACTCTCTTTGCAGAAGCGCTCTACCTTCTGGGTTCAGGATCCCTCCTCTCTGTCCAGGCTAGAGGCTTGATGGGTTATTTCAAGAAACTGTTCTGCTGCTTGTGTGTGGTATCCTAAAGGAACACGGGGTTCAAGTATATGGACAAAAGGACACTGTTTCTTGTTTTGCTCATCACTGAGTGCTCAAGAATAACAGAGCTGGGTTCCATTTCTGGATAGGTTCCTAAGGTACCACATAAGCTACAAGTCTTTTTTTGTCCCAATTCCATCAACTGTAAACTTGTAAAGAAACTATACCCTACTTATCTCAGAGAGATACTGTAATTTCACAGGCTCCGAGAACCTCAAAGCTCTATGCAGACAGTGAGGCTGCACACAAAGTCAGACAGACAAAAATGTGTCAGAGGTCCAGGGTGTGATCCTCTCCAGCAGGTAGTTTCCATTACAGGAACATACTCATACTGCACTAGGGACCCTAGTTAAAGCGCCAGCAAGTCGGTGATTACTATTCAGAAATTTTTCTTTTTCCCACAGTTTTAGGTTTCTGATAACAGAAAGCTACAGACCCTCTTTTGCCCCAAATCTAAGTCGGTGGGATTCTAAAATCTACGTTCACAAGCCAGATGTTAATCCGCTGGTGACTTACTTTTCCATTCATCTATAAGGAGGTCCCTGCTTTCAAAGGACTGATCGTAAGGATCAGCCACTGGTTCGTCATCAGGATCGTGGTACTGAGCAAAGTAGGCGTGTGCAAGGGCTTGGGCTGCTGTGATTCTCTTATCTGAGTCCAATACCAGCATCTTTTCCAGCAAGTCGACAGCTGTCAGGATCGCAGGTTGGAAGGAAACGAGGAGAGTTAACACGTTACCAAAAATGTATGTGTCTTAAGGAATCACTTAATTTCAATCCCTCCTACTTGAAGGATTTCTGAAAACCAGAAGTTAGACAGCACTTGGGAGAAGAAATATTTATGACTACAGTCACTCCTTTGATAAAGTGCCTGCTCTATGATGTTCCTTTATATGTTTACACGTGTTATTTTTAAACAATATACTATAAAGGAAACCTGATAAAATTAACTCAGATTCTGTTTGAACAAGCTTTTGTAGAATGTCAACATCAAACTGCTAGCACTGGGGTCAAATTACCACCAAAATTGAAAGCCTATAATTAGAGTGATTTTAGAAGAGGTAAGACAGGCTGGGTTCTTGTTTTGTTTTGTTTTGTTTTTTTAAACTTTTTGTTGCCTTTTACTGTTTATTTATTAATATAAGGCCAATATTCACTCAAACGATCTTCAAGCAATTTACAGTGTTTTACATAGGTATGTGGGTGATAATGGTATTTGGAAAGGGAATTTTAATTTTGAAATTTGCACTGTGAAGTAACACTAGCAAGGTGAACACATATGCATACCACTGTTTCAACATTTAATATTCTTAATTTATCTAGCTGAATATAATTTCCCCAAATCATTTAAAAATAAAATTATAGATGTGGCATTTTCCCCCTAAATATGTTAGTATAATGACATCTTCTTATACAATCATAAAACTCTTATCATTTCTGAAAAATAAGTAATTCACAAATTGCATCTGAGATCCCATTCATGTTAAAATTTCTCCAGTTACCCCGAAGCTATCTTTTACATTTAGTTTGTTCAAACCAAGATCTAGTAAGGCCATGCACTGCACATGATCTGGTTTTTTAGTATCTCTTAATCTAGAGCCCCCTTTCCTCCCTTTAATCTTTATTTCCCCCTGATTTTGACCTGAAAAGAGCATTCTGTTTTCCTGAGAATACTCATCATTTGGAATTTGTCTAATTGCCTTTTTTTGTTATCAGGTATCTATGCCTTGTAAATTCCTGAAAACCAGAAGTTAGAAGACACCTGGGAGAGTAAATATTTCCATGAGAAAGGTTTTGAGACTTTGTAAGTTACTGACAGCTCCTAAGTGTGGAGAGGGCAGAGGTGGGGAGCAGTTTCCTGAAGAGACCTGCTGTGCATACTGGAGGGTATAAAAGACGCCTGTGCTTCAGTCTGAATTCCAGAGTGAACTAAAGGAGAAATGTGGACTTGGGTGATTGTGGAAACAAAGCGACTATTCATGTGTCAATTCAAGTTCATAAATGTACACTGTTAAGTATAAATTTGCTCATAAATTTATTTTTCTTAGAAAAATAAACCTTATCAGCCTAGTTTGGACTATGTGGTGAGTTTTTGCCACCCTAAGGTAGAAAGTATTATGTCCTTATATCTAATAACCTTGATTATGGGTAAGAAAAGACTCCTTGAAAATCTTGACAGACATAAGTATACTATACTCAAGAGCAATTTAAGTTTTAGTTAATGTTTTGGGGATAGTGCTGAAACATGAAATCAGTGACTGACAAAATCTTATTGTTAATATTTATATCATCGGTGTATCCTGCTCAGTTAATATGCTGGGTGCAAGCTTGAGATCATTAACACCATGTTCTGGCTGTAAGAAGAGACTCTGTATGACATCACTAGTTTGGCAGTGGATTGTCGGGAACATTTAAATTCTGAAGACTGAACACCAGATGGCCCAAAGCCTCCATTCAGCTCACTTGCAGTCTATATTGCTAAGTGGTATCCAGTTCTGAATGTTTAAGTATTACGATTGGGGGATGGGAGAGCTACTAGAATGCAGGTGACCTAAAGAAGTCTACCTATGCCCTCCTCCCCTTAAAAAAATGAATTAACTGGCCCTCCCTGGTGGCGCAGCGGGTTAAAGGACAGCACTAGGAAGCTAAAGCCACTTTTCCCGCCTGCCCCGGAGGTGACCACATGGCGCAGCAGACCTCTCCTGACCGACCCGCTGCTCCCCTCAGCAGTGTACTTCATCAATCTGCCTGTTCTGCTCCCCACTGTCTCTGGTGAAGCCTCTCGCCGCCCCTAAGCCTCTGGCCTGTACCCCAGTTCTGTATGCACAAATAAATAAACCTTTAAAAAAAATGAATTAACTAAACTCTGGGAGCTAGTGAGCAGGAGGTCAAATGGTGACTAATTTCCATGTCTACAACAACATGAGCTGATATGATGAAAATATTCAAAACTGAATGACAAAAAAGCTTACCACACACATTTCCCAACACCCCAGAGTATTTACAACTCAAAGAGAGCTTCTCAGAGATCCTTGGCTGGATAATGATACAGTTCAAATAAATCATACAAAGCCAATGAGAGCATCAGAGGGCAGCTGCAAATCTAAACTAATCCCAGCAGAATTCTATATATCACTATCACTGATGACTGTGGACCCCCACCCCCCGGACTTGAGAATGACTCAGCTGACATCCTTTCCAGCTCCAAAGTTGACATCAGCTTTTCCATAACTGCCCAACACTTCAGAAAGCGAGTATCTCTCTATTGTAGGAATTATCACAGTTATTGTGAAGCCACTCTCGACAATCACAATGAACGAAGTGCTTAATAAAGCAAGACCACTTAGCCTTTACGCCAGTTCCTGAAGCGGTTCTCATGGCTGTCAGTCCTCAAAAGTACAAAACTAAACCTGAAGCATAGTTGCCAGTACCCTTCATCAGAAGGCTGGCCCACACAGACTTAAAGAAGTGCAGTGAGATCTGAAAACATACCACTACAATACCATTTGAAAAGTGAGGTTAATTATCATTGGAGGGCCTTGTTAATTCGTGAGTGCCTGGTTTGATTTTTCTGTCTGCTGTCAAATAGCATCGTCCCACTATACTCTCCCGCAGTCAGGGAACCAAGAGTCTCTGACAATGCCACTTTCAGGGACAAATGAAGCAGAGAGTAGGCCCTGCTTTGAGGAAGAAAGCAACTCCTTTTTCAGCCAAGGCCAATTATCTATCCCTTTGCCAAGGATCTTGGAGCTGAGGGTGGGAGGAAGAAATATAGAGTCACTTCTTAAAGTCTCAGGTGGCAAACTAGTTCCACAGGAACTAGAGGGACACAAGAAGAAGAGGGAAGGGGTGAGGATGCCAGGAGCACCAGGAAGCTACAAGCAGGGCGAAGCACGTGGCAGAGAGCTCCTGGATGGGTCCTCTACACACCCATCTGTGCTTCACTTGATTTTACCCTCATCCCGGGACATCATCAAATGACAGCAGTTGTGAATGTGTCGTAGGCATTTCTCAATCCTTTCTTTCTGTGCCCCTCAGTCTTTCCCCATTACCTTCTCTCCCACTAAAGTCTGTGATCATTTAAATATGTAAGCAACAAAAAATGACATTATTTACCACCTTCCAAGATTTAATTCATGGTACCCTATTTAGTCAAAAGCCTCATTTCATATCCCTCATTTATGTCATAGCCCATTCAATATCCATGAGAGGAGGACATGATCAACTCACCCAAGGGGTTGGCACCAATAAATACATTTGCAAAGTTCATCTTCGGCATCTGGGTCAGAGACTGGATGTAGTTTCTTGCCTGCAAAAAACAAGGGTTTTTTAGATGGTTTTGTTCAATGGTACTGCTCTCACAGTCTTGGTCCTGCATGGAACAAGTGTCAAAGACGGAGCCTCCCAGCTCTCAAGTTTATGGCTGTATTTGCTATTCATTAAAGAATGCTTCATCACTGCCACCCTAACATCTTTATTTATGAACATCACCTTTATGCATTCTGGCTATCCTTCACAGTTACATTTCAGGTAAATGAGAATTCTAAAAAATTTAGTCCTCTTTGCTTTCTGATTTTATAATCAAATTTTAAAAAATGAGGGGAAGGGAATCTATTTTGAGACAGACTTCCTAAAAAGCTAAAATCATCATAGGGCTCAATATTCCTCCAGAAAATCTAGGACCAGCATTCTTCTACAGGTGCTGACTTCTGTAAATAGAACTGGTACTTCAAAAGGATACCAATATTAAACCTTGCTTAAAAAGTAGTTTTGGAACAAGTAAGTAAACATAAAAGCTTGGTGTGTTATTCTAAGAGGCTTGAACATTAAAAAAGAAAAAAATAAAATAAAAAAGGCCTTCACAGGAGCCATAAAGAGCCATCAATTACAAACTCCAGGGTCTTTGTAGACATCTCTACCACTTATCAGCTACATTTACTTGGGTAACTCTCAACTAGCATATCAGCTACTTCATCTGTGAATATTAGTACGATATACTAGTATTTGGCTTGCCTATATCATAAGGCTACTGTGAAATTTAAGCAAGATAAACTTCATGAAAGTGCTTCACCAAAAATTCTGACACAAACATTTATATTACCAACATAGTTGCTACGAGTTTGGTCTCCCGGGTGGGACAGGCTTGAGTTTGAATCTTGACTTTGTCACTTTGAACCAGTTAAGTGTTCTCTCTAAGTCTTGATATCTTATAAAGTGGGAATTCATGACCATGCCAGCTCCACAGGGCTGGAGTGAAGACCACACTTAACAAGCCAGTATCCCCCAGCACAGCATGCAGCTCAGAGTGAGAGCTCAATAAATAGCTGCCATCACTGTCGCCTCTAGAAAGGAAAGTCTGCTCTCATTTCCTAGGGATGTTTCATCATCACAATTTCTAAATATCATCCTGTGGAATTTCAAACACTTTCAAGGACTGATAGCTCTAGTCAAGGCACAACCGAAAACTGGTCTTGAGAATAACCATGTAAATACAGAATTTGGAATGGTGTGCCTCAGATATCAGGTGGTGGGCTTTGTCTCAAAGAACAAATCCCATTATCAGTTGTTCTGAGTAGATGAATTAAAACTCTTAAAAGTCCCTGTTTAAATACAACTTAACAGTAAATGTATATATGTATGTATGCATGTATGTATGTACAGTTTTGTTCACACACACACAAGAGGTTAGGAAAAGTTCTGGTTGCTAGGGCAACCTTCACTTTCTTAATCATTTTATGTGGGCAAGCAGAAGAGACCCACTCTGACAAGCAATTGAGAATCTTTCCAACTTGAAAGGAAAGTTCCAGGAACTGAATATGCAAAGAGCCATCCCTTTCTACTTAACCATGTGCGTAAATGCGTGAAGGAAAAAACAGATGTAAGAGAGAACGTCTCACATGGAGAACCGTCATCTCTCTAATAAAGAAAAATAAAAAGACGACCTGAACAGCTGAAGTGGAAACTAAGCTGCTGACAGGGCCTTTGAGGTGCAACCAAAAAGACTGAGGGCACCTTAGAAAGAATTACCAATCATCTCTGATGAGAAAACTAGAATTAGATGAAAACACCTACAAACTTGTGAAGAAGGCACCTAGCTCTACCTATTTCTTCTACATTATTTGTGTACTTTTAAGTACAGTACTTATTAATGTTGGGTATTTTATAGTAGTTTTCACATATCCCTGTAATTTGGTCATTAAAAAAAAATGAATAAGAAAATATGCTTATGGCCTACAGTTAGCTCCCCTCTAGTCGAAAGTCATCCGCGGTGGCATGCCCTACTGGCATAGAAAAAAATCTAGGGAAACAAAGACAGCTATGTGAACACTAAATTCGTAACACCCACATGTAAAAGTAACATCAGTTTCTACGGGCCGGCCTGAAAGTTGCAGTCTCACCCCCAGGCCGGGATGGCCCACGCCCTGTGCAGCGCCGGGAGTCCTAGCCCCAGCGCCACCCTCGGCCCCTGCAGGCGCTCTGACGGTGCAACACCGTGCTGGCTATGTACAGTGGCAGTAACACCAGAATGTGGCCTTCTGAGTTAGATGTCCCTGGACGGTCTATTTGTTCTCACCTCATGGCTTGGCATCCTGTTAATGAGATAAGCAGGGGGTGTCCCCGTCAGACGCATAATCTGCTGAAGCTGGTTAATATCTTAGATGCCTAGTCAAGGGCATTGTTAAACATACAGTGCGAAAAGTAAGTTTCAGTTCAAGTTAAAAAAAAAAAAAAAGGCTAAAAAGCTACCCCAAACAAACAAAAAGTCTATGGCCTACCCACACCACCCATCCCAGGCCACAGCCCAAAGTTGCCTGTTAAAGCACACTTCTGAGAATGGCGTGTGGGTTACTCAGCGAGTAGCCAGTAACTGGACATGCAGACAAGAAAAATGAGCTTTTTGGGGGGTTTGTTTTAACATAATTTTAATGTTCAATATGTTAGGCTCCCTGGAAAGAGACTGCCCCTCGATCCAGGATGCCAGCCAGAGAACTATTTTCAAGAACTGATGGCCAAAACCTGTTTGCTTGTGGGTTAAAAGGAGATGACTCAAGAGAATTTTCACTCAACTTTGGACAAAACAAAATAACCCATATTCCATTCAAGGAAGGCTTAAGTATCTGTGGCGCTGGTTCTGGTGACGCTCCAAGATACCACCCTCCAAAGATAAGTCTCAGGTGGGCGTGTGGAGTGACAAGCAATGTCAAGTTTTAAAGACACCAGTAGTGGTACATTTTTAAAACATGCCATACACACACACACATACACACGCACACAAACATACTATGGTTAAGTGAAGAAAGGGAGAGTTAGAAGCTACTGGCAAAGACAAAATAGAAGCCACAGGCTGCCGACAGCACCACCGCATGCCACAGTGATTTCTCCCACAAGTCTCTAACAGGAAGACAGAATAACCTCGCCCAGCAGACAGCGGGGAGGGAGTTCGTGGAATACTGGGATTATCTCACAAGGCAGCACTACGAGCTCTCCCATATGTACAAGGTCATCCCTCTAGTAGCTGTCTCATTCACTTTAACACAATTTCCTTTCTCCAAAATTGGAGAAATGCTAGTTTATCCTATATTCTTATGAAAGCATATGTGATGAGTTTTTAAAATCTTCCCCAAAACTCAGTTAACACCTTTTACTATTCTCTGTCTTGCCACCTATTAATTCCCCTTTTTGGTGGGAACATCATCTTGAATGAGCATCCTGGTCAAGGAATTTCACTTTTTTTTTTTACTTCCCTCAGTCATTTTCCCACTTTAGCTTGGCCTCTGAATGCAAACTCTCCAGCAGTCAGATCCACTAATGCAGGCTGGCCAGTAAGAAGGGCCAAAGGGTCATGGGCTCCAATCTGCCTTCAGTGTTCTCTAAGCCCAAAGATAGAGCCTAGGGAGAGAGCAAAAGGGGTCTCCTACCCCATAAACCTGTCAGAGAGAATACCAGTTAAGTTTCAAGATGTTTAACCCTTTTTCTTCCTTCTCGTGAACATTTCTTAGTCTGTCTTTTTCCATTTCTGTCTTCTTTAGTCAAACAGGTTATTACAGCTCCTTGTCAGGAGACTAGGAAAAACGCATTTCCAGAGAAAAATGCATGAGTGAGACAGTGGAAGGGCTTTGGCTTTCTTACCATGATTTTTTTAGTTCTTTCACTGATTACTGAAGGTACTAGCTCTCCAACCCCCCAAATTGTCTATCCTTGGCCATCCATCATCATCCACTTATCCCCTCTCTCATGGCACATCCTAATTTGTTCTCAGTTAGTCCACCCACCATCGCATTTTCTTACTCAGAAAGCCCTACTACTTACTGAAGGAACTGCCACATAAATGATGGTGTGTCTACTTCATCACTACTTTGCAGTAACAATGGAAACAGCTACTGGCTTTCTATTTACTTATCTTTTCACTAAGGGATTTTTCTTTTGATTAAAAAAGATTTTTTAAACAATTATATGCAGCTGGTTTTGTTATTTACACATCATGTTCTACCCACTATGTGCTGTTAACATAAACAGATACTTGGGCAGTGTCACTAACATCAAATTCATTTTGTCTACCTTTCTGAATGTCTTAACTGCTTTTATTCACTAACCATAACCATATAGGGAGGGGAAAATGTTTCTTACTCCTATACCCAATACAGTATTACTTAAGTTCCATTTTCTGGTACTTAATTTTATTATGCCTGATACTATGCTTGAACTGCTGAAATGCAAAATGTGCCCCATTTTATTTATGATAAAGCATCCCACTATTAGGTAGGGCATTTGGTTTTCATTTAAAAGTAAAGAACAGATAAATGCCATTTTACCCATACTTTTTCCTTTAGAAATTCTTGAACCAATAGCACATATCTTTAGGGAAAATGGTTGGGGGTAGGAGAGGAGACCGAAAAAGAGCTGCTTGCAGTCAATCTCAGACAGGGACTAAATTTGCTATTTCAATCTCATTAGCATCGTTCATTAATAAACGGAGCTCTGCCCAGCGTCACCGTCTGCCCACTCTAGTAGCTAATTTTTCTAAACATGCATTTAATACAAAAAGGACTATAATCTCTAAGCACTGTCTCCCAGCTTTTTTTATTTACTCTAAATCTAGCTTGTACACTTCATAAAAAAAGAAAACATCCCTTTTGGGTTGACATTGTGGTCAGTAACTCCAACAATGCTTTCATAACAGTGTACAATTGTATTAAAGTTTAGCTCATGTTATCAGAACATCTGGGGTCTGAGCTGTGCTTAGTGGATGACTCAGGCACTCACAGTCCTTCTATTCTTTTGCTTCCTCATCTTGAGTAAATGAAACAAAATAAAGTAGCCAGTGTCCTCTCTTCTACCCCTCAGAATAGTAAATTCATAAATACACTGGGGTCCTTGTAAAGAATGTAGCAGATACATACCAGATGAGGCCATTCTTTATTTTGTGAGCGACATTAGATAACACTTTAAACTCACCTGCTTTGCTACCTTGCAGTTTTCCCAATTGGGCAAAGGGACCCTCTCCCCACTGCAGTCAGAAATGCTGGGCAATCCATCCAGGTAGGTGCAACTGGACTCTGACTCCAGAGCTCTTTCCCCTTTTCCCCCAGTTGCCTGGCAACAGGCGGAGGGAGGAAAAGAGAGAAAGGCTGGGCTTTCCTTCAAATCTCTGGTCCCAGAAAATGATCAACAGGAGGAAATCTCAGCCAAAGTAAGCCAGAGTTGCTTCCCCATGGCTTCTCTCTAATTTCCTGCGTAAAGGCAGGAAAGCATTTGCTCCAAACCACTTTCTCAGGTTACTGAACTTGGAATTACAAAGGCAAGCTGTGGGAGGATTCACAATCTCACTGCAGCGGGTGTGAGGTTGCAGGAGTAGAGCTGTCTCCTCTGATGGTCTGGAGGCTGGGTAAAGAGGACCCCCTGTTTGAAACAGACAACTCACACAGCGTAGGTGAGCCATCTAGTCTAAAACAAGACAGAGCAAGTAATTTCTGGGAAAGTGCAAGAGTGTGCAGCCAATGCCCATTCTTTTCGTGATAAAGCTAGACTAATACACAGGGATGCTCACTCTCAGGACCAGCGCTTCCAAAGACTAAAGAGCTTGTGCGTATGCAAAGCTTCTGAGAAAGATGAAGTCAGGGTTCAAAATGGAGACATGCATTTTCCATTCACCTCTTGGGATGAATCAGAATCTCAAACCTCATTTATCGAGACACGGCTGCCCAACATAAGCTCCCAGGATCCAAAGACAACCCAGAGCGAGAGAGAACAAACACTCAAGCACGTGAGGCGTGGTGGGCACACAGACACACATGCACACACACACACACACACACTTCCAGCTCACCCTGGAGCGTGACACACGAAGGGCATGTGTGTTACCAACACACCCAGGTTAAAGGACAGACTGACAGAAGGAAAGTGGCAGAGGCTCTCAAAAGGGCAGATAATTACAATCAAAGCATCAACTCACAGACTCTGAGGAGATTTTCTTCAAAAGCTCAGCCCCTGGGGTTCCAACGAGTCTTAAAATGAGCTTCAACTGATCAATATCTAATGGTGGACTATAAAGGAAAATGTTGGGACAAAATAAAAATGAAAAACAAGTAACAAGCAAAACAAAAACAAACAAAATATCCCAATAACAAAAAATAAAGAAACCCAACACAAGCCAAAATGGTGAATTCATCTAGGTCAAGGCTTCTTTCTGCAGGATGGTCACTTCCAAGTAGTACAGGCTCCTCCTATACAGATTCAAAACGCTGCCGCACACATCTAACTTACATTCACTTCATACATCTCTCAATATCACCGATCAGGAAAGTGAAATGATTTTAACCGGGTACCGAGCTGCCAAAGGCAGCAGATGACAACACAAAAGCTTCACTCAGCCCATTCGGTCAGTCTGCACCTCCCTCCCGCCTCACCTTCCATCAAGGCATCAGGAGCCAGCTAAGCAGAGCACTGGTGAGCAGAGTGCTACAGAGAAGGAAAAAGCGGCAGAGGAAGGAGGTGGGGAGAGGCAAGCCTGCCTGTGACTGTTCCGCCTGGGTTGTACCTAAGGAACGTGTGATAGAGAGCGCGCGGGCTGAGAGGATCCCCTCCTCTGCGCATGCTCCCTAGAAAATCTCTCCCCTCCGAAATCACCGGAGCAGGCAGACCAGGCCTCTGAATGACAGTTGGCCAGCAGAGGGCCCCACTCTCCCACCGCATCTGCAGGTTCTTGAGAAGTGTCATGACAAAGCAGCACATAAGAGGTTTCACCCTTACAAACGCAGTAACAAGCCTCACATGTCCCAAGGATCTAAATAATAGGCCACAATGTTCAAACCTTTATTCTGGCAGCCAACTCTTTCTTGTATACTCAAGAATGTATATGCATGTACTAACCAGAAGACAAAAATCTTTCCATTTGTTCTTACTGCTGTTAGCTCTGTTTGAAAAAAAAAAAGCTACAAGGAGAGAAAAAAATCTTATAAACAGTTTACATGCTTATATTTTTCTCATCTTTAGGTCTCAGCTTAAACTTCACCTCCCCAGAAAGGCTTCCCCTAAAACTCACACAAAGAAGTTCCCCTTCCTGCTTTATTTTCTATCTCAGCACAATGCCTGAAAACATCACAGTGCTATTGCAATCTGGTTACGTTTTTTGTTGTCTTGGAGTTCTATGAGAA